AGCAACGCTGAAGTCGGGGTCTGGGCACTGGCCTCCAACGGTGAGCCAGTGGGGGTCCCGGGAGGACCCGGTACTTGGATGCAGTTTCCAGACAGGAGCTTCACGACTAAGGACGAGACGCTCCTGATCCCCCGCCAGGTCAGCACACACCCCTTGAATGCTACCTTATCTTTCATCTCATTGAAACAACAGTGTTAAGTGCATCATTCAAAAAGCCAGATCATTCTTCAGGGTGTTTCACAGAAACCATCGTCTCTGGGCCGCCCCTGCCTTGATTCCCCCTCCCTGAAAGCTTTTGACTTTTCATCTGCTTTGGTTTTGGTTTGGCTTTCTGGGTTGGGCACGCACACCCTCCCTGCTTCTAGATGACGAGTTATCTTCTGTGTTGATTTTTCAGGGTAGACACCACCCCTTCACTTTGATGGTGACAGACCCTCGCTGAATTCTCTCAGGGCTCCCACCTCCCCATAGAGGGGAACTGCACTTGGGATTCAGTCACTATTCAGTATTAATCCGTTCGTCAATGTATGGATTAGATCTTTTAAATGAGACCCATCAATCCACCTCCAGGACTTTGGCCACCTGATGCAAAGAACTGACTCATTAGAAAAGATCCTGATGCTGGGAAAGATGGAAGGTGGGAGGAGAAGGGGACGACAGAGGATGAGATGGTTGGATGGCATCACCAACCCGAAGGACAAGAGTTTGAGCGAACTCCAGGAGATGGTGAAGGACAGGGAGACCTGGCGTGCTGCAGTCCATGGGGTTGCAGAGTGGGACATGACTGAGAGACTGTCCATCATCCTCAGTCCATCAATCCTCTAGTCAAATGCTGTGTCTCATCAGTATTTTTCCTGATCTCTCCGAAGTGAGCTCTTTGGGGGCTACATTCTACATTTTCTTGTGTTTCCAGCACAAATTCTTCCCCTGAACTTTTCACAAAAGCCTGTGAAAACTCATTCTCCTCTGTGTCCCCTGCAGCGGGTGGCTGGTCCAGCCCAGTCTCCTCCCTGGAGACGCAAGCCCGAAGCCGTCCTCGCTCCCTGCCCTCAGCTGCTCAGTCTCTCCTGGATGTGTGCTTCGGTCATGTCCATCTCTTTGTGACCCCATGGACTGCAGCGCACCAGGCTCCTCTGTCCATGGGGATTCTCCAAGAAAGAATACTAGAGTGGGTTGCCATGCCCTCCTCCAGAGGATCTTCCTGAGTCAGGGATCAAACCTTCATCTCTTGCGTCTCCTGCATTGGCAGGCGGGTTCTTTACCACCAGCTCCGCCCATGTCTCCTGCAGCTGGTTTCACTATCTCCTTCTATGTGAGAGGTCCTCCAGGAGGTCCTGGCCGGGGCACGGGGGTTGTGCGCTTCCTGAGTGATGTAGGGCCCCGTCTGTCCCCGTCTCTGGGTGGCGGCTGGGCGGGCTGTGGGATCTGGGTGCGAGTGAACTTTCTTGGCCATGGATGCTCCACCCTCTCCGAGCTTCCAGGACGCAGCAGAGAAGGCTGAGTCCGTGGTGCACCCTGGTCTTTTGTGGCCTATTTCTGCTCCCCTCCCCAAGGAAACCTTACTTCCCATGCAGGGACGCTGCGCCGGGCTGCCCTTGGCGGCTCCGCTCCACGCCTGTGCCGGGCCCTTGGAGGCTCTGTGAGCTGGAGGGAACGTTTTCACTCCGGGACACAAGTCTGCCTCCCTCCCTCCGTCATCCCGGCTTGTGCCCCGGGGCTCTCTTCTCCCATCCCTGCCCCCTCTTCTCTCTTGAATCCTTGCTCTCCCTCACCCCTCTGTCCTCATCATTAGCTTCTCAGTCTTCCACCGTCAGCTAATTAGTGTGCGGCAATCTTTCCTTTTTGCTGAATGTTCACTTTTATGGGGCCACGCTCTGATTTTTGTGAATGCATTATCTTTCCTCATCCCTTCGAGCCGCTATCTCTATTTTTTCCGGGAGTTTTTCCCCCTCTCTGTTTATGCCCAGTTCGCTTTTTCCGTTTGAGTCTGCTTTTCTGTCTTTCGTGTTGGATGCCTTCTCTGACGTCGGTGAGCTGGGGTCCGTGGGTCAGGGTCCGTGACATGTGGTCTAACGAGCGGACCCTGAGCTGCGCCCACGCTCCCTGCCACCCGGGGCGGAGCCGGGCACAGGGGGCTGTCTGCTCCTGGTGCTGCCCGCCTCCCGCCGGCAGAGCCCGCGCAGGGGGTGCCCGTGGCGGCGCTGTCTGTGACTCTGAAAACCTGGACAAACCTACAAGTGCTGATCTGGGGCATCCGCTGCATGTGGCTGGTCCACCCTTCCGGGGAACACCATGTGGTTTGCAGTGATGGGCAGGGCTGTGTCCCTTGCTACGGAGGTCCATCCAAGACACCACAAGGGCAGCTCACAGATCATCAGGTAGAACTTGAGTCTTTATGCAGAGAGACCTGTGTGTGCGTTCAGAGGTCAACATCTGGAAGGACGTTTAGCAAAAATTCACCAGAGATTCTAATTTCTGGGTGATGAGATCTGGAGTGATTTCCCTTTTCTTGTGTTTTTCTACCTTGTCTGAATTTTAACTGCAAGTGTGGGTTGCCTTTATAGTCATCTTCATCTCGGAGAAGGAAAACCACTCACTGGAATAGTTCTCTAGCTGCTTAAAAGCAGATGCCGGCTCCCCACGGCTCACCAACAGGGTGTCCCAGCATCTGGACGAGATGTCCCAGCATCTGGACGAGACGTCCCCGCTTTCCAGGGCTGCGTGGTGCTTCCTCCCGGTCACATCATGGTCACCAGTGTCCTTGCCCTGTCCCCGCCTGTCCTCACGTTCACAGGGCCTTTCTAACCTCTGCATCCCCGGTCCCCGCCGCGGCTGTTCCTTCTCCTTTCTGGCCTTACCAGGGTCGAGTGCCAGTTGCCAGCACTGCCCTGGGGCTCCCTCAGGTCAGCCCACTTGTGTGGCCCGGTTTGGAGTCTTCAGAGGCACCCATCCCTGCTTTCTAGCACTGTCAACGGATTCTGGCGTATCTTAGATTTCTCGGGTCTTTTCTATGGGCTGGAGGCAGGACAATGAGTGTAGAGAGATTGTGGGTGATTTACTCACTGATGTTCCCCTCCCAGGGGCCCAGCATGGTGCCCGGGACAAAGCAGACAAGGGAGATACTGAAGAATCAGGGAATGAGGACAGAGTGAATTTGAAGGCGGGGACAAGGAGAACAAATGTGTAAGCTAGAATTCTCGATTCTGTTCTCTTGTAAGAGATAAAATGAGAAGGTACTGGAATAGCCGTGATCCAATTTAAGTAAATGTGAAAAATCACTTTACAGCCGAGTTAAGAATGGTTTATTTATCCGAGAAATTGGTGTTTTCCTTAACAAGTCAGTAAAGAGTGGCTTTGAAAAGTGGGGCTTGTTGCTCAGCCCTGTGTGTGTATATCTGCTCAATTGTTAAAAGTCAGGTTTAAACCTAGGGACGGAATCAATGCAGTGTTTACTTTCCTCTTTTTGTGATAAGCTGGATAGTCAGGAACTCATTTGCTTTGGAATGACTCAGGCCACTCTGTTTGAGGCCTGAGAGTGAAAGGTCTCTCTTGTAAGGCATGCAATTTGCACTGTGAGCTGAGAGCTGCAGGCTGGTTGAATAACAAATGTTATTAGGAATCAGAGTTCACCGATTTTTGTTCTTCAGATTTAAGTGCGTGTGTCCGCTCAGGGCGTTTAGAAGCCGGCAGAAGAAAACGTGGGCCCTGTTTGCAGCCGTAACGCACCCCCTCTGAGCTCCCTGCGGAGCAGCATCGGGGTGTTGTGGCCAGAGGCTGGGTGGTCCCCGGGCCCCACTCGTGGTAGGGCTCAGCCTCACGGGGCCGGCAGGGGGACAGTGACAGCAGTGGCCAGGGTGCTGTGGGGTCGGGTGGATTTGTGCTCCAGGAGAAGAGTGTGCAGGGAAGGGTGTGTCCTGCGGGGTCCTGCGGGCTAGAGGAAGGCGGGAGGAGGAGGCCAAGGCTGCTCTCAGCCCCTCTTTGCTGTGGGGAGCAGGAACTCTGGCGGTCTCCCGGGAGGGCCAGGGGCGGAGGGGCCCTTAGGCCTCAGAGGGCCCGGGAAGGCCTGTGAGCCTGTGTCCCCGTCCTCCTGGGACCCGGGAGGACCTTCAGGCCTGTGTCCCCGTCCTCCTGGGCCCTGGGAGGACCTGTGAGCCTGTGTCCCCATCCTCCTGGGTCCCAGGCAGAGGTCCAGGACACGTTGGAGCCAGTTAGCCGATAATGGAGCCAAAATGGAGCGTTTCTTCTCATGGGCTAAGCAGCCCATTTTTCTCCATCTCCGAGGCTGACAGCGTGGAATGTACTCTGGGCACCGAGCTCCGATGATGAAAGAGGCCAGCACTATCGGACAGACAGCCCGCAGCCTGGGAGCCCGCTGGCCGCGGGAGGGGCGCAGGGCAGGGCAGACCGAGGCCCTTCTGACATCTGGGGCGCTGGGTCTCCAGGTGAGGGCAGGCAGGAATGCCCGCCCTGAGCCCACCCGCAGCTGCTGGTTCTCCAGAGGCGGGACTGGGAAACCACGTGCTGCTCTGCCCTGCCAGTCCGGGTGATGCCCGTCTGAGCACCTGGGTGGTAGAGTCATCCCCTGGCCACGCCTGCTTCTGTCACCAGGCAGAGAGCACTCGGGGCTTCCGGCAGAGGTGGAGGGCTGCTGGCCAGAGTGCTGAGGCCCCTGCTGGCCAGTGGGAGACCCAGCAAACAGGGGTGGAGAAGGGTCGAGGAGAGGACTGCCCTGCTAGGCAGAGGCCTGGAGCTGGGGCTGGGTGGAGAGTCAGGTGGGGGGGGGGGCGGAGAATCAGGGTGCTGGTTGTGTAAAGGATCAAGGCACATCTATTGGGTTTTGGTGCACACTCCTCGTGGGGTGAGCGAATGATCCAGGGGTTCTAGGAGGGGTCTTAGGCCGGAGATGGGCTCTGATGCTCAGCAGAGCCCAGGGAGTGGAGGTTGGGGGAGAGGACTGTCCTTGGCATCTCTCCCATGCTGGGCAGACCCTGAGGACGCACTGGCTCCTCCTGGTCACGGGCTTGGGGAGCAGCCTCCTGCGCTGGGCGCTGGGCAGGGTGGGAGCTGTGTGCAGAGCCGGTGGAGCTGTGGGGTTGGGGGGTGCCTGGGCACACCCCGTCCCTGTGTTCATCCTTCCCTTTGCCAGGGGGGCAGGGGGAGCCCTGCCCGACCCGGCCACCCCCTGCTGGACACAAGGCTCCAGAATTGGCATTGTCTTGTGTAGGTTAGCTCCGGTCACAGTGATGCTGCGTAACGAACCATCCAAACTCTGCAGCTCACGGCAGACAGCGTGAGCCTCTTGCTTACCAGCCTGCACTGGGCCAGGGCTTGGCGGCTCCCAGCTAAGCGCATGCAGGGCTCCAGGCCGCAGGCTCACATCGGCTCTGTGCTCTGCCTCCCTCCCCGTCCAGCCCAGTTGCGCTCTCCCCTCGGCTGGTCTCAGGGGGATGAGACGATGCTCCCAATAGATAAAGCCCAGAGGCTCCGGGTCAGGACGCACACTCCCCTCTCCGCCGCCCTCCATCGGCCAGGTTACGGGGGGAGGGTGCTTGCCACACAGTGTGGTCATCTGTATTCACCAGCCTCCTCTAGGAAGGGCCCCCGGGGGTCCCCAAGATCTCGACAAGCCCTCCCTCTGATGACGTGTCACAGCCCCGCGTGGGGTGCTCACGGCCATCTGCCTGTCCACGAGCTGGCTATCCTGAGGGCAGGGGTCACTGTGATCCACAGTGGACGCAACACGTCTGCGCACAGGAGGCGCTTTGCGAGGCGTGGGGTGGGGGGACACCGGGATGAGGGACCTGTCCCTCTGCCCCTTCCCCGGGGGCCCAGTGCTGGGCAGCGCCTGCTCTGTGATGTCCTCCTGCCCCGCTGGGACCGGCCCTTCCTCTGCGGCTCCTCACACCTCGGGCTCCCTGAGGAGCCTCCTGAGAAGAGAGGGGAGGGGGCATCCCCAGAGCACACCCGGAGCCTGAGGACGCATCACCTGTGGAAGGGGGGGCCCGGAGCGCCGAGCTGCCCCCAGCAGGGCCCTGCAGCATAAAGCAGCCGGCTTTCATCCCGAAAAATGGGGGCCTGGCTCGGAACACCTCCGGACGCCTTTATAGAGCGAGTAATTGCTTAACTGCAATTATTTTAGGAGGTTTAACGAGGCCGCATGGGTGCTCTTTAAGAATACCTCTTCAGCTTAAAAATTCCGCCCACGGCCCCCTGAGGGTGGGGCCGAGAGGCCTGCCTCCTTCAAGGCTCAGCTGTGCCCCGAGGCGGGGTGGCAGGGGTGGGGGAGGGGGCGGTGCGGGGGTCTCTGGAGGGGCTTCTGGCAAGGCAGTCAGCCCTGCCCAGGGAGGCAGAAGGACCCTGTTGCCAGGGGAACGGCCTCCTTTGCACTCTGAGGAGGCTGGGCCCCTCCTGACGAAGATCCACTGGACCAGAACTCAGTGGGTGGGTGGGGGGAATGAGGAAGAAGACGGAGGGACAGAGGAAACAGTGATCGCCTTCATGTCGGGCACTTTTCTGAGCCCCCGCTTCCTTATGGGAAAGAGCCTTCCCTGTGGGTTCTTGCAAGGGTGACCTAAGAGGCCACACGTGAGACGCCTGCGCGGGGACCAGTGCCTCCTCCAGGGATGCTCGCCACCCCTCACCGGCCCGGGCCGGCTCATCTTCCCGATCGGCCGTGAGGTTGGTGACACCAGCTTCTGGGAGAGCTGCCCTCACCCATCGAGGCGCAATAGACGCAAGTGAGGCCTGCTCAGCCGCCCCGGGAGGCCTGTCACCTGACGTGCGCGTGGGCAGAGGCCTGGAGAAGGCTTCTAGGGAGCAGTTTATGTTTGCAGAGCCAACCCCCCAAACCGTGAAAGGCAGCGTGTGGAGCGACAGAAGAGATGAGCAGTGAGCACAGTTTAGTGAAAGTTATTTAAAAACGTGTCACACTGCAACGTGTCTGCACAGGCTGGCGCGTCCTCACGTGTGGACTGCTGGCTGCAAAAGGCATTGTGGGGAAAAGGATGGCTCGGGGTCCAGCTGTCTGACCAGGGCTGTGTGGTTTGGGCTCTGTAGCAACCACGCTCCGGCCACGTGGTCAGGCCACAGCCGGGTGGGCCACGGCCTCAGAGAGCGCATCCTCTCTCTCCACCCACCGGGGCCGCTTAGTAAGCACAACAGTGATGAAGGCAGCTGAACCGGGCTGGCGGGAGCCCCTAACGCGTTAAGCTCCGAGATAAGCGTGGTTCCCACTCCTGTTGGGGCTTCCCTGCTGGCTCAGACAGTAACGTGTCGGCCTGCAGTGCTGGAGACCAGGGTTCCATCCCTGGGTCGGGAAGATCCCCCCGGAGAAGGAAATGGCAACCCGATCCAGTACTCTTGCCTGGAAAATCCCATGGATGGAGGAGCCTGGTAGGCTACAGTCCATGGGGTCGCAGAGTCAGACATGACTGAGCGACTTCACTTTTTCACTTTCCACTCCTGTTTGATGGAGAAACCGAGGCACAGAACAGCTGAGCAACAGCGGAGGGGCTTGGCCGGTGGTCAGCGGCACAGACAGGCTTCAGGTTGCGGCCATCGGGCGCCAGGCCCGCAGTCTACCCGTCGGTTGCCCTCCTTTGCTGATTCCCCCAGCCCCCACCAGCCAGCTCCCGTCCCCCAGGCCGGAACGCTCCCTCGAGAAGGACGTGGCCGTGGACCCCAGAGTGAGGCTGTCGGGGAAGGCTCAGGGCAGCCTCTGAGCGGCCCACAGCCCAGGGCAGCCCCTCCCTGACTCTGCTCCTTATAGCCGACCGAGAAGGAAAAATACTCCTTCCCTCAGCTCCTTGACCCCAGGACGCAAAGAGGATGACGGAGGATGGAATTAGCCCAGGCTTACGGCCTCAATTAGTTACCATGGACTCAACTACTCGTCCCTCCCTTGGAGGGCAGAGAGGCCAGACAACACGAAAACCAGCCTCCAGGCAGGCTGGGTCAAAAGGAGCAGGCTTCTCCCTGGTTAAGTGCTTTTAAATCAAAACACTGAAGCCTCGGGCTTAAGCCCAGCTGATGCGGCTTGCGTCTCTTTTCATCCAGGGAGCAAGACTCGCGGTGGTAGCAGGAGGCACCGTTCTCCACGGCCGCTAACCCAGGGAGTGTCTTCTCCAGGTGAGCGCCATGTGCAGGCTTTGGGAACCCCTGCTCAGAGCCGGGTCCTGGTGCCATCCCCCCGCCAGCCTGTAAGCTGGGGCAAGGCCGCCCGCCCCCAGGCTGCAGACCCTCCCTTCTCCCCGTGAACCCAGAGGAGGGTCTCTGCAGTGGCCTACGCTTGGACCTCAAGGATGCTCGTGGCTTTGTTCCCAGCGGGGCCAGCTCTGGTTGCTCTCCAGGCTCACCCCGCAGTGAGGGGCCCTGGGGCCCTGGCAGCAGGGTCAGCCACAGGCCCACACGCTGGCCACGTGCCCCTCTGTCCCCCCACCCCACTGTCCCTGAAGGTGGCAGGAGGGGGGGTCTTGCCACTGGAGACCTCTCGGGGAGTCCGGAGTCTCGCAGCTGGTCTCAGGGACCTCACCTCCTCCTGCATTTATACCTTTCACCACGTGATTCGAGCCCAGACATGGCTTTTCCATTCAGTCGTGGCATTGACTGGGGGCCGAATGGTCCATCACGGTCTCAGGAGGCTCGTCCCCTCCCAGAGCCCGCCCCTGCCGTGTCCACGGCCATAGCGCCTCAGGGGGCCGGGGGTCCCGATGAGCTTCACATTCATTGCCTTTTCTTATGTCTTCCACAATTCCTGCGGTGGGACCAGCTTATTTTCACAATCAGAAAAGGAAGAAGCTGGACGCAGCGTCCTGTCTGCCCTGAGCCGTGCAGAGGAGGCGGGCATTCGTGCATGTTCCCTGAATCTCTAGCTGGTTAAGGCCCAGGGCTCCTCGCCGGCCGTGGTCTCAGAGCCCGGCCCAGTGTAGGGAGGACCCCCAGCCCAGGCCGAGCGGCTTCCCATCTCCTCCCGGCCCTGGGGGCCACCGCACTCTGCGTGGCTCCAGCTCCCTCCATTAACTCGTTGGAGGGAAGGGGGAAACCTGGTTCTCTGGCACGAGTCTGGCCGTCTCCTCATACCGCCGTGATGTCCGGGAAACACACACGGGGAGCACTGGCCTCGCCTAGCCAGCCAACTCTCCTCCTGGGCCCCCGTCTGCCCACACAGCAGACTGCCGCATCCTGCCTCCACGTTGACCCAGGCAACATGTCCAGCCTCTTGTGGGGGTCCCCGTCCCTCCACGGAGGAGGGCCCTGCCGCTCACGGGAGCCTCAGGACTGTCTGACTTCAAGGCCAGAGTCAGAAGTCATGTCTCTCCCTCCCTTGCCTTCGCCCCAGCACGGGCATCTGGGTAGCACCTCACCTGTATTCCTGCCCCCAGGCAGGGGTGGGCACTCATGAACGCGGGGGAGGAGTTTTATGATTTCCCCGCAGAAGAACCCGTCTGGTCAGACTCCTGCTTCCACGGCCTTCCACCCTGTGCAGGGCTGTCTGTGCACACGTGCTCCGTCCCCAGCCTGCCCCCAAACAGCTTCCCCACGGTCGGACTGAACCAGCCTCCGCTCTGCGTGGACCGAGCTGGGATGCTCTTAATATTGTCGCCCCCGCAGTGCCTAGGCCGGGGTGGGAGACCCCACCACATCTGGGGCCCCCAGAGGAGATCCAGGCAGTCACGGGGGCTCCCTGGGAGAGTTCTGGCATCACTGGATCCTCCGTTCCCACCTGTGAGGCAGGCAAAGCAAGCCTCATCACGCCATGAGGGAGTTAGCAGGCTTTACAGTTCAGTTCAGTTGGTTAGTCATGTCCGCCTCTCTGCGACCCCATGGACTGAAGCAGCATGCCAGGCCTCTCCCTGTCCATCACCACCTCCTGGAGTTCTCCCAAACTCATGTCCATTGAGTCGGTGATGCCATCCAACCATCTCATCCTCTGTCATCCCCTTCTCCTCCTGCCTTCAATCTTTCCCAGCATCAGGGTCTTTTCCGATGAGTCAGTTCTTTGCATGAGGTGGCCAAAGTATTGGAATTTCAGCTTCAGCATCAGTCCTTCCAATGAACACCCAGGA